TCATTTTGAGTTGATTTTGATATAAGACCAGAAACTGTAAATCTCCTAAGAGAAAACACAGGGGAAACACTTCAGGAAGGAAGACTGGGAAAAGACTTTATGAATAAGACTCCAAAAGCACAAGAAACAAAAGAAAAAACAAACAATGGGATTATATCAAACTAAAAAGTTTCGGTACAGCAAAGGAAACAATAAACAGAGTGAAAAGACAACCTAAAGAATGGGAGAAAATATTTGCAAACTATATACCCAACAAGGGATTAACATCCAGAATATAAAGGGAACTCAAACAACTTCACTGTAAAAAAAACATATAATCCAATTAAAAATGGGCAAAGGAAATGAATAGACATTTCTCAAAGGAAGACATACAAATGGCCAACAGGTACATGAAAAAATGCTCAGCATCACTAATCATCAAGGAAATGCAAATCAAAACCACACTCAGGTATCAACTCACCCCAGTTAGACTGGCTATTATCATAAAGACAGAATAACAAATGCTGGCGAGGATGTGGAGAAAGGAAACTCTTCTGTACTTTTGGCGGGACTATAAATTAGTAAAGCCATTATGGAAAACAGTATGAAGGTTTCTCAAACAACTATAGTGAGAACTACCATATGATCCAGCAATCCCACTTCTGGGTATATACCTAAAGGAATGGAAATCATTCCAAAGAGATACCTGCACTCCGATGTTCACTGCAGCCATGTTTACAATAGCCAAGATATAGAACCAACATAAATGTCCATAGATGGATGACTGGATAAGGAAAATGTGGCATATATACATGGTGGAATACTACTCAGCCATAAAAATAAATGAAATTCTGCCATTTGTAGCAACATGGAAGAGGCTGGAAAAAATTGTGTTAAATGAAATTAGCCAGGTACAGAAAGAGAAATACCGTATGTCCTCACTCGTAAGTTGGGGGAAAGAAAGAAAGACAGATAGACCACAATAAAATGTTCAACTTTCAGAAGGAGAAAATAGACCTATAATTACTAGAGGTGGGGAGAGGGGGGGGAGGGGAGTCAGAGCATAATTGAGTATGGAACACAAAGAATAATTATAATTTGTAATGATGAATACGCTAATAATATTGATGTGCTCATCAAAAAATATATATAAAATAAGAAAATATTAAAAAACTCACAAAGAATAGTTTAAGTATACAATGAAAAAAGATAAGTATAGTTTATTGATTACAAAGATTCACTAAAGGATTATTGTAAATAGGCTTCCCTGTGTCATTTATGGACAGCTATTATGAATAGATCTATTGAGTAGTAATTAAGCTTATTTGGTATTTCTCAAAACTATTATTATACAAAAAAAGAATGTATCTTTAAGGCATAAAGTTTCCTCTGATATGAAAATAAAAATCTTAAAATAAAAATTATTTTAAGTCCATTATTTGCATCTGAAGGGTGGGAGCAGATACATCAGAACACAGAACAAAAACATCAAAAACAAAACTATGGAAAATAATCTAGCATATTAACTTTAATTATATAAATAGTTAATGTACTCTCCATACACCTACTGATTCTAAAATAGAATATCTGTATAGAGAATGGAACTTTTTCCAGATATCTGAAGAAGCAACTAACTTAAATGAAGGATTTTAGTGTGTTTTCTCTAGTATTCTATGAACTACTAAAGATTTATGGGTTTTGATACTTATGTAGCCATACTGTACTAAAAACAGAAAGAATACCCTCAAAGTTATGGACTCTTCAAATTAGAAATAGTAGAAGAATCGACAAGTTGGACAATAACAAAAATAAATAGTATTTAATATATTCGGTAGGCTCAATTCATACATGGAATTGAAATACTGGTCTTGAACTGTATTTCAAAATTTAACAACTTGTAGGACAGCTTTGCTTTTAAAATAAAAAGTATTTATGTCCATAGTGGCCTTTGGCCAGTTTTTATCCACTTTCCTCCCTCACTTGTGAGATGTCTTTATATTAGGCAAGCACCTACAGGGAACATGCAAGAAGAATCTGGCTCATCCTCTAAAGTTCTTAAGTTCCAATAAAGAGACATTTTAAAAGGATGATTCAAATGTTAAATGGATATTTGAATAAAGCCACCATTATCCAAGCTGATAATCTTGCTACTTTAAAGATCAATACAACATGGATTCAATACTTGGAAAGGATTACGGAACACTAAATGACATTCAATTTTCAATGCAAATCCAGCTGAGCCTCCACTCTCATTGCTAGTGCTGCTCTATGAACATTACAAGGTCCCATCAGCTGTATACACACTTTTATCAGTAAAGAGCATGCCCAAATAATCTTTTCAAGTGCTTTGGAGAACTGAATAAAAAACAGTCCTGCCATGAACATCAGTTGTCTTTCACTTTAATTTGCAAGGATGCATACCAACAACTCAAATCAAGTTCAGTGTCCAACAAAGTAGAAGGTAACATTGTACGTTTTTTGTTCTCTTTGTCCAAAGCATAATTCAGTAACTATAATCCTTATTTATGACTGAGTAGCTTTAACTATTTTTAACTAAAAGAAAGCAGCGGCAAAGAAAAAGCTGCAATTTTCTGTGCTATGAACTCAGCTCTTGAGGAAAAGCCCCTGGCTTCTGGGAACAAACTCATAGTAACAGATGTGCGGTATGGTCTGTGCCTCAACAGATAAGTAGCTCCAATACAACAATGCCAGACAATATGCAGAAATAGATCGAGTTATAAAAAATCCCAACCTCCTTCTTTTTTTTTTTTTGTCTTTTTCCGTGTCCGGCAACGGTCGCAACCCTCAGTGTCGCCCCCATACCGGACCGGGACCGGCAACGGGATCGCAACCCTCGGTGT